TTTATCCCACGGGCAGCGAGGCACCCATGGAGGGTTTTCGCTCGGACAATGGCCAGCCGGGATTGTGCTTTGGAAGAAGCTCTCCAGCTGAGTATAGCAAGGGTGGCGTCCCCGGAACTAAGGTGGGGAGACCAGGCGGAGGCTGCCGCAGTCATCCCGAAGAGCAAGGACAGTGGCCTGACTCCAGCAGTGGCAGTGAGATGGGAGAGAAAGGACCCACACAAAGGGGTGACAGGCTACATGTGGGGCATAAGGGACAACAAGGAGGGCAGGTCCAGATGCCATCCACCAGGACAGAAATTTTCAGGGAAAATGTGGAGGGGCCCAGTGTGGGGCACGATTAGCCTGGGGGGCCTCTGGAGTATCGAGGAGCTGATGGGGATCCGAGAGGCGGGACCATCCTGCAGTCAATGTCACTGCTGGGTCTAGAATGCAAGCCGGTTCCTCCTGTTACCTCCTCCTACCTCTCTGATGGCCTCCATCCACACTCTTCCTGCTCCCAGGCTTGATGCCTTTGCTCTTGCCCAGAGTACCCCTTCCTCCTCTGCATAATCCCACCCACCCTCCAGTTCCAACTGGAGTCCCAGCCCAGTTTAAGGGCCGGAGCGCAGATCCACAGTCAGAGGTGGGTGGGGTTCAAAAGAGAGGCAGAGAATATAAGAGAAGGCGCAGAGACCAGACTCAGAGCCCAGCTCTGCTGCGAGCTGGCTGTGTGACATGGGGCAGTCCCTTGCCCTCTCTGGACCTGTTCCCTAACCTTTCAGAGGTGAACAAGGAAAGGTCCTTGCCCCAGGAAGCTCAAGGTCTAGAAAGCGCCGTGAGACCAGGGATTTGAGGTGTACTGAATCCCCTGGGCACGCAAAGCAGGAAAAAGTTTATGGAGAAAGACTTAGTGGTATTTTCTCCGAGCCATGAAGAATGGGTACAATTTCAGCAAGTGGAGATAGAGGCAGGAGAGGGCCCTCCAGGCAGAGAGAACGTTCCGAGCAAAGGCTGGGAGGCGCAAAATTCAGGGTGTGTCCAAGGAAGAATGAGTGTCCAGATTCTGGGGGTTTTTTTTGTTTTTTTTGTTTTTTTTTCTGAGTCAACAGCTCGGGCCCTTTTTGTAAGCAGGCAGCCCGAGCCAGGCAGCCTCCAGTAAACACCTATTTGCACAATCGAGGTCACACACAGGGACGTGTTTGCACAACGACCTGTTTGCACAATCTCAGCCGACTGCTATATTCCAGCCAAACCAGGCCCCGGCGGATGAGCACGGCCTCGACTTCCGGACACTCACCCTGGCTGGCCCACTGGTTCCCGCCCCTCAGGAACAGGCTGCTCCTTGACCCACCCCCTGGCCCCACGCACAACAGGCCATAACACACCGAACCGATCCGACCCACGGGAGGGCCGCCCTCCCCAGGGCTCCCTGACTGGGCTTTCCAGCCCTCAGAGGTCACTGTCTGATGGAGGAGGGGGCCCTGGCCCCAGCAGGAGAGCTGGAGGAGGAAGTATCCACAAAGCAGACACTAGGTGATGGAGGGGTGGACTCCACATGTGTCTCGTGTTTGCCAGCTCTCACCAGAGGACACATTTGTTGAGCCTTTACCGCGTGCCTGGCTCCGTGCCACAGGCCTCACGTGCATTCTTTCGCCAGTTTCTCTCACGAATCCCATAAAGCAAACGCTACTATCCCGATTTTAAAGACGCTGAAACCGAGGCTCAGAGAGGTTCCACAACTTGCCCGGGGTCACACAGCTAGTAAGTGGCAAACCCGCGCAGTCTCCTCAGCCCCTCTCTTGACCTCTCTATGCTAATGTAATGTCTCTAAAGTCTCTCGCCCTGAGGAAAGTTCTTCCTTAAATCTCACTTTCATTTCAGCTGCTGCAGTTTTGTTTCCTGGTGCAGGTCCTCGGTGGAGAATGGAGCACACATGAGCAGGAAAATCCTGCTCTGAAACACTGAACTGTGCAGTGATGGGAAAAGGAAAGGAACTTTATTGAACACCTACTACATGCTAGTTAGCACACTGGGTTTCATACCTCCCATAGCTCAGTTAATCCTCCCAAAACCCCTGGGAGGAGTTATTATCTCTGTGGCAGATAAGGAAATGGAGCCTTGGAGAGGGAGTTTCTGCAGTCCAGTAGATCCTCACTGGGAATCCTCTGTGCCGAGGCTGGAGGCGGAGATGGGAAGAGGGTTTCTGCCCTCAAGGAGTTCACAGTCTAATGGAGGAGGCAGACAGCCAACAGCCCACTGCAATAGTACAGGATCGCCAACGAGGGAGGGCACCTGACCCGGCCCAGAGAGGTGCCCAGCGCAGGCTGGAGGTCTGAGCGGGGTCAGAGGCTGGACTCAGCCCGCCAGAGGCGACCAGGGGCTCGGCAAAAGCAAACACACAGAGGTGTTCCAGAGCCCGGGGCAGGCAGGAAGATGCAAGCGAATCCTGCACGACTACAGCCGGAAAAAATGTGTCTGGGGAAGTGGAGGCAGATAAGGCAGGAGAGGGAGGTGGGGCCAGCTGGTGGGGTATCTTGATTGTCCCGTTAAGGAATTAGGGTGCGTCATAGGGCCTCTGAAGAAAGGGGACTGGCATGGTCACCCGTGCCTGCGTGTAGGAACGCTCACTCTGCCAGGTGCTGACAAAGGCTGAAGTGAGAGAGCCCAGAACAGGGGGCCCGCGGGGAGGCTGGGGCACGCCCAGGTGAGGGGTGGGGAGACCTGACAAAGGCAGGGTCAGGAGATGAATTTCAGAGCTGTGGACAAGCCCAAGAGCTCCATAAAGGCAGGAATGAAAGCTGCTTTTGGTCACCATTGTACCCCCGCACCTGTTCTGGGAGCATGTTTTCTGAATGATGAACCGAAGGCCCGTTCTCCTTCATTAAGGACTGGTTGGATGTGGGAGTGTGGAGAAGCAGGTGTGAGGAAGGATTCCTAGGCCCCTGGGGTGGGTGACTTGGGAGGAGTGGGAATGGTGATATACTCTACCAAAATGAGGCACGTGAGGATTGGGGACAGGTTTGGCAAAGTGGGGGGGAAGATTCATCCATTCAGTCATTCATTCAACAAAAATATGTTGAGGGCTCACTAGATAGCAGGCAGTGTTGAAGACAGTGGAGAAAAAGGTTTGAACAAAAGAGACTAAAACCCTTGCCCTCATGGAGCTTCCATTCTGGTGGGGGGTGGGGAAAGCCAATGACAGATAGTGAAAAGGGGTATGGAAGAAAAGAGAGATAGGAAATGAGGGGGGTCAATTTTTTAAAAGGGTGGTCAGAGAAGGTCTCAATGAGGTGATATCTAAGCAAAGACCTGAAGAAGGGGAGGAAGTGACTCCTGTCATTATTTGGGGGGAAAGAATCCAAGCAAAGAAATAGCAGGTGCAAAGGCCCTGAGGCAGGAGGGAGCCTAACAAGTTCAAGAAAAAGAGAGTAGCTGGAGCAGAGCAGTAAGGGAAAGAACAATAGGACAGGAGCCAGGGAAGGAATGGGGCCCCCCACGGGTTGGGTGAGGCCTTGCAGATCATCGAAAGAACCTGGACTTTGACTCTGAGTGAGATGGGGGCCATTGGGGGTTTGAGACAGAGGCTGATGTGAACCAACTTTTTTTGGTCAGTATCACACTGGTTCCTGAAGGTACAATAGACAGGTTGGTGGGGGACAAGGATAAATGGAAATAGGGGACCAAGAAGGGGACTATTGGAAGGATCTAAGTAGGAGAGAAGGGTAGTTTGTCCTGACTGGTACTGGTTTAAGTGATATTTATATTTTCCAACTTTTTATCATGAATATATTGACACACAGAGCCAAGCTGAACTGTATAGGGAATATCCGTCTACCTGGGATTCTGGTTATATTTTGAAAGAACAGTCCATAGGATTTGCTGAGCATGTGGGGCCTATGGGACATCTTGGGGAAGTTGCCACAGACATTTGGGTATTTCCATCTGGAACCTCGACTGTGGCCCAGGTCTGTCCCTCACCCCAGACTCAGAAGCCTGCTTTTTTCTAAAAAGGATCATATGTTAGGGACACTCTCCTAGTCAGTTGGCACCTAATCTTATTGGGTCATAAATCCAACAAACTATGAACAGTCTGAACCCTCCTCGGAAAAATGCACAGAAAATTATTTGTAAACAGTTGCGGGGGAATCATGGATACCGACAATGGAAGACGCTAAATTTAGTCTACTTCACTCAATCAAAAAATGTTCAGGGTAGCAGAATCCTTGCGAGGAAACCAATTTCTTTTTTTTTTTTTTAAGCTTATTTTTATTTTATTTATTGAGAGAGAGAGAGAGAGAGAGAGAGAGCATGGGAGGGGCAGAGAGAGAGGGAGATAGAATCCCAAGCAGGCTCTGCACTGTGAGCACAGAGCCCAATGGGGGACTCGAACTCACAAACCGTGAGATCGTGACTTTAGCCGAAACGAAGTCGGATGCTTAACCGACTGAGCCACCCAGGCGCCCCGATGAGTAAACCAATTTCAAGTGAGCATATGAAGGCTGAGCCTCACCAGCTCATCCCCTTATTTTGTTCCCAGAATCCCCATTTCTCCATCGCCTGTCCATGGTGGAAAACGTAGCAAAGAGGGGCACTGTGAGTAAGGTGCTGGGTCACAAAATTTCCTGTCACCTGGAAGCTGCCGCCTAGAGTACTGGGAGGATCAGAGCCCCAAGGCTAGAGCCAAAGAGATCTAGAGCCGAGCGAGTCTTCGAGCCAGGGTCTGTCTCTGACTGATGTTCCCCCAGGAGTGGACCATGGGAATGGCACCCAGGCGGGTTGAAGCCTGGGCCCTGGCCAGCCTCAAAGCTTTGAGGTCAGGAAATCCGGAGGCAGGGGAGAGGGACACCGTTGCCACATTCCCCGGCCCCTTTGAGACCCCCGAGGCAGGAAGGCTGCCCGGCCCCACCGGCTTCCCTCCCAGGCTCCTTCCTGTGCCTCAGCGACTGAAAGCGCAAGGGAGAGAAGGAGGCCGGGCAGGTGTTGCAATCCACAGCTCCTGGGCCTGTCACAGACTGAGCCATTAACGACAGGGCTGGGGAGAGAAGCCGGCCTGCGGCTGTTTTCAGGAACTTGCCCTCAAAAGGAGAGCAGAGACGGTTCTCCAGGGCGGTCCTCCAGGCCGGTGCCCGCTGCAGGCTCCAGCGTGAGTAGGGGATCCCCAAGCAGGGCTGCATCTCCGGCTTGACGAGTCCCAGGTCCACTCTCCCCCGAGCTCTGCCAAATGCCCGTATGCAGGCCTGGGACCAGGGCTCCTGCCTTTCGGATTGGTCCCTGGGAACCAGGAGCCCTGGACACTGAGTGTCTTTGACCAGGGCTGCCTCCTCTTTGGGGGCAGGGGGTGTGCATCGGGGAAGTCATAAATAGCCGAATATTTCTTTGGGGACGTCAAGCTGGGCTCAGGGAAGGACACAATCGCCATCCCTCTCCGCGTCCCTGTCTCGGACCCTGTGTCTCAGCCCGTCCCTGTCTCCCCTGTTTCTGTCTTCCTCCCCAGCCCCTCCCTGGCCTGGGCTCCGGGTCTCTCTCTGTCTGACTCAGAGTCTTGCTGTGCCTTCCCCCATCTCTTACATTTTCCTCTTGAATCTTAAACTATTTTGGGGACCTCTTGCTTCTCAGCCCTGAGTGCTGGGGTCTCTGGGTCAGCGTCCTTATCTCCTGGGCTCTTTCTTTGTCAGAAAGAATCAGTCCCAGATTCCTTCCCCCCAGAAAGAATCTCCACGTAGGAGAGTAAACACAACAGGAGAGAGAGGGTGTGAGCTGGGCAAGGGAGAGCAGGGGAGAAGGCTGAGTGCAGGGAAAGGAGAGGAGAGCAGGAAGACGTGGGTGATAGCAGTGCCTCCAGGAGGCAGCGGGTTCGACTGGAACTGAGCGGGAGAACCGGGCAGATGGCTGGAGAGAAGGCGAGACTGGGGTCCCAAGGAGCCACAAGTAGGGAACCCAGAAATGGGGCTCTGAAGCCATGCCGTGTGACACGGATGAAAGCAAGGTGGCGGTCCTGGGGGGCTGTGACCACACAGCCTATAAGCGGGAGAGGAGGCCAGGGGGGTTCTGGATTCCATGATGCAGTGCCCCGCTTCATGGCACGTGAAAACAACCGACGGTCCCCGAGGGCTTCTTCTACGCAGGCTCTGCTCTGAGCGCGTTTATCACAGACCATCTCAGTGCATCCTCACTACAGCCCTGAGAACGGGGTGCTGATGTTCTCCCCCTTTCACAGATGGGGACGCTGAAGTTCAGAAAGGTGAAGTAACCTGTCCAAGGCCACAAAGCTGGTAAGTAGCGGAGTCGGGGCTGGAGGCTGGTCTAACTCAGAGCCGGACTCCCCACTTGTCTACATACCGGCCCCCAGAGAGTGAGACCACGCTCCAACAGGCCCCAGATCACTCTCAACACTCTCAACTGGGGTAAGGGTCACCCAGGGCCGCAGTGGGGGACCAGAGACTGATGTCAGACATGCCGACACTCAGCAGCAACCCAGGGGAAGGATGCCCGACCTCTCAGGGTGGGGTTTGGCTACCCATTCTGGACAGGAGTCAGAGGACAGGGATGAAGTGGTATCTCACTGGGCACAGGCTGGGCCTTATGCTGATCCTTGCTAGGGCAGCAGGGCTGGGGTATGATCAAAAGCACAAAGAAATGGAAACCAGTGTCCCAAAATCTGGGCCCAGGAGGCTAAATCTTCCCCAACAAGTGTGTGGGGGGGTGGGGGGGGAGGCGGGGGGGTTGATGCTAATCAAACTGGTATAATGCAGTAAGAAAGCTGCCAACCACTGATGAGTAGACCAGGGTGCTCTGAACAGTGGTGCGGGTTTCTCACTGCACAAAGCTGCCCAGCTAAGGAGTAAGTAGAAGCTGAAATCCAGTCTATTCTTCAGTTGCCAGGTCTTAGTGTGAGCCTGCATCTGCCCAGAGGAAGGGGCGCTTTTTTCCTGATTGGCAAAAAAGTGACTTACGGGCTAGCAGTCCCTTGGCATCCTGATACCGAAGCGTATACAAATAGCCCAGGGGTTGGGGTAAGGCCCCTGCCTTGGGTGTCTGGGAAGTTCTTATTCATACCCCTGCCTGGGAGGAAGAGAAAAAAGGAGAGAAGCTTTCCCCCTTCTGAGCACAGGGGGTCTGCTGGGACACCACTTACATGCATGTGTTCCTATATGTACACGCAGGCTAGACAGTGATTTCCACTGACCTGCCACCGAGGGTGCCAATTAGTGCTGAAGAAGCAGGTGCCAGGCCCCGAGACCCCAATGGGAGCAGAATGGAAAGTTGGGCTAGAAGCCCGCCATGGCAGAATACCTTTGGCATACTTCCAGAAACAGAAACTGGAGGCTCCCAACAGGCAGGCACTGTCGCCAGGACCTCAGGGCACCTGGCCCCAGAAAACCTCCAGAGGTCTATGCCCAGAAGCGGGGGTGCATGGACCCCCGTGCCCTCCCTTTCCCACCATCGCCACAGAGGCCAGCCTCCCCCAGGTGTAACCTGACAGCCCCTTGCCTCAGCTACTCCATGCAATTGTCACTTTCCGCCAAGGGGCGCCTCTAACCTTTCTGGCATGGCTCACTCAGGAGAACATGCCTAGTGCTCATGCGTGTGCAACCTGGACGTGCCAGGAAGTTAACACCCCAAAGAACAGCCCTTGACTGATGGGGGATAGAAGTCAGTAGATGAATGTTCCCATCCTCCCTCCTGTTCAAGGGATAAATTGTCCCTTGGGTGGATAGTTCTGACGTGTGTTCTACACGGCTCCTCGGAAGTTTCCAGCAGGATGGAGCCCCAAGTCTGTGATACACCCTTATGTCGGCTTTCCCTCCTTACCTGTGATCATTCTCCCCACCTCCTCAGTGTTCCTGGGATCCTTCCTATTAAACTACCTGTGTGCAAGCCCAGCTCAGATAAAAGGGAAGGGGGAAGAATGCTATTCCTTGACGCTCCTGTCCCCGCTCTCTCCTGGAAGGCAAATATAATAACAACAGTGGCAGTCACTCACACAGTCATTTCCTACGTGCCAGGCACTATGCGAAGCCCTCGTCTTGCACCATTTCTTGTCTTCCTCCCAAAGCCCTTTGCAGTATAGGCTGTTGTTACCTCCATTTTGCAGACAAAGAAACTGAGGCTCAGAGAGGTCAAGTCACCTGGCCAAAGCCACACTGTGGCAGAGCAAGGGTTAAGCTCAGCTCTTACTCCGAAGCCCATGACCTTCACCATCCCCCTCTGCCTCCAGGTGAGCACCAAGTTGGCACTATGGTGGAGCTGGGAACCTGGAGCCTGACCAGAGCTGCCCTGATTATCCTGCTGCTCCCCAGAAGTGAGTGTGGCCGGGGATAGGGGTGCCGTGGGGAGGGAGAGGAGTCACAGCGAGAAAGACAGAGTGGGTGGAGGCGGGAATCATTTCCCTGCACTGCCACACTGCTCCTGGGGTCCCCAGAGAACCAAGGCTGGGCCACAGATGTGGGGTAGCCGGCTCCCACCCACAGACCTCTGCGGGCAAACCACCATCCATGAGGAATGGTGAGCGGGCCTGGGCTGGTCAGCCTGGAAAGGGCTGGGTGACGCAGGCCTTGTCTGCAAATCTCTGCCAGGCTGTCAGAAGGAAGCTCTGAGTCCCCTGCAGGCTTCGTGGGCAACCAAGAGATCAGGGTGGGAGCCACAAGGAGGCAGGATTCATCCTGGAGTCGGGAAGCCCAGGCAGAGCTCCCCAACTATGGAAACTCTATCTTGAGAGGTAGAGAGCTTCCCATCTCTGGGGATATGCAAGCCGAGGCCAGGGTTGACAGGGAGGCTGTGCAGCAGGGGCCAGCGCACTTTGCTTGATAGGACTATGGAGGCCACATACAGTCTCTATTGCATGCTGTTATCTGTTTTCTGTTCTGTTTTCACCCTTTAAAAATGTAAAACCCATTCTTCGCTGGCAAGCCATACAAAGCAGGCCACCCTCAGCCCTGCTGAAAAGGATGCAGTGCCTGGCGAAGTTCTGGAGTGCACAGTTTTGCGAGGTCCCTTCCAGTCTGAAATTCTGAGTCTGTGAAGTGATGGGAGCCCCACGTTGAAAGTCATGAACTTGCTTCGTGATCCTGGGAGAATCCCTTCTCCTCTTAGGGCCTCAGCCTCCTCATCGGCAAAACAGGCCCAGGAACACATGACAGAGGAGAGGAGGCATTGGGGGGGGGGGGGGGGGGAAAGTGCAGTGCTGCCTTATTTGTTTAGACAAGAAATATTCACTGAGAGCCTACTCCGTGCTAAGCTCTGGCAATACAGTCATGAGCCAAACAGCCAAGGTCTCTGGCCTCACGGAACTTCTGGCCTGATCTCTGGGGAGACGGACAAACAACTAACCACATGGCTCCGTAATTAGGAAGGAAAAGAGCTTTAGGAAAGTTCAGGGCACTTGGCCTGGTCTGGTTGATCAGGGCCTGGTCTGGTTCCCCCAAGATGCTAAATGTTAAGCAGGTGAGAGAGAGGAAAAAAAAGAGCCCCCGAGAAAGGAACAGCAGGTACAAGGATCTGGAGATTGGAGAGATCGTGGCATTTTCAAGGAATAGGAAGAAGGCCAGAGTGACTGCCGACGAGAGGGGGTGGTCTGAGCTAGAACTGGGAGGCGTAGCATGGACAAGGCCAGGAGGGCCCTGAGAAGGACCTGGGTTTTCATCCTGATTGTGGCAGCAAAGACACTGGTGGTGCCTGGCATGTCATTACATCTAATCCTTGCAGCAACATGAAAGTAGGGACTATTTTTCATCCCCATTTTACAGATGAGAAAATTGAGGCACAGAAAGCCTCGGTAACATACCAGGATCACACAACGAATAGGCAATAGAACCAGGCTCTGAACCGAGGCGGTCTAGTTCCAACATCCGTGCTCTTACCCACCACACGGCTGCAGTGCTGACGCGCCGTGATCCAGAGGCAGTAACACAATCAGATCTGAATTCGGAGAGCTGGGGCTGTGGGCTGCCTATCATTCAAACCACCACTTCCACCACCTTTGGGGAGGGTGCTGCAGGGGGGACCTGCCTCTGTCCTGCGGTGTGCTGGAGCTGGCTTGCGAGACCTAAGGGCGCACGTTTCCTCCCAAGTTCACATTCAGTGATGTCACACGGGTGGCTGGAAAATCAGTCTTGGTGGGGAATATTTACACCAGGGAAAGCAGCCCATACTACAAATCAGGATGTGGCTTTCTTGTACAGTCAGTTGATAAGCATTGATCAACACATCATTCTCTCTCTCTCTCTCTCTCTCTCTCTTTTTGCCCCTGAGAGCCCTCACCGTCCCCATAGACATTCTCCCCTTTCCAGCCCCCATAACTTCGGTGGGGAGGCAAGAAGGTAAGGGCCCTGAGTCTAGGAGTCCAAAGACTTAGCTTTTTGGCCCAGCTCTGCCAGGCACAGGGGTGACTCATGGCCCATTCTCTCCCACCCCAGGCCTGGAGGAATGCGGGCACATCAGCCTCCCAACCTCCACTGTCCGCCTGGGGGACTCCATCACAGCTTCCTGCACCATCAGCCCCAACTGCAGCCACCTGGGCCCGGAGTCACAGATTCTGTGGAAGTTGGGAACACAGCTTCAGCTCGGAGAGAGGCAGCAGCGTCTGGCAGATGGAAGCCAGGAATCCACCATCACGCTGCCCCCGCTCAACCGCCCGCGGGACCTTCTCTCCTGCTGCCTGCGCTGGGGCAACAGCGTGCAGATCCTGGACCAGGCTGAGCTGTGGGCAGGCCGTAAGTCCCTGCGGCCGTCTACCCACTCCGCCTCCGTGCCCTCCTGCCAACACGAATAAGAGCTAGGATTCACCGAGCATTTGCTCAGTAAGCACATTATGGGCATGGTATCAGATAACCTTCCCTACCAGCGAGGAGTGCTCTTTAGCCCCATTTTGCAGATGAGGAAACTGAGGCTCGTTTGGTGAGGGGCACAGGCGAATAAGGATGTGGCCGAGATTTATATCAGCCGGCGTGGCTCTGAAGTGAGTGTAGTAACCACTACTCCATATGGCTGCCACATAAGCCCAACTACCCAGCCACTGGAGGGTGTGCCCAGGGAGGACACACTTTACCATCTGGGCCTGCTCTCAGTTTCTCTGCAACTCAGTCTCAGCCCTCTGCTCAAACTGAGAAGCAAGGAGACGATGCCAAGCCAGTGCATGAGGAAAGAACTAAGACCAGGTTTCCTTGTTAAGAGTCACTAGGAGTAGAGCAAACACTTACACAGCACCTGCCATGTGCCAGACATTGCCCTGAGCGCTTCGTACATAGTGAGTCACTCAGCCCTACCCAGGGGGTAGGCATATCACCATCGCCCCATTTTACAGATGAAGAAACTGAGGCACAGAGCGGCTAAATGACATGAAGATCACAATGGCTAATAAATGGCAAACCCAGGATGAAAACCCAGACCTACACTGTCACGGTCAAAGGGGGCCGAGCTGAAGGGGTCGGAGGCTCTGTGATGCCTGCCCTGTACATGCCTATAATTTGACTTGCCCCAGGGATGCCCCTCCAGGGTCACCCCGAAGGAGGCGAGCGAGTAGACAAGGTGACCCCAGAGGGAACAACCCCGAGCAAGGAAACGAAAATAACTGATTCCAGTCAGAGCTTTCCGAGTGGCCCTACTCCAAGCCCTCACTCTTCCCACCCTTCGTGCAGACCCTCCCGCCGCGCCCCACAACCTGTCCTGCCTCATGAACCTCACAACTAACAGCCTCATCTGTCAGTGGGAGCCAGGACCCCACAACCACCTGCCCACCAACTTCACCCTCAAGAGCTTCAAGTAAGGAGGGGTCTCTGGCCGCGTCCTCTGGGTCCTGGGGTGGGGCATGGGCAGGAGTGGGGCTGGGGGAGCCAGAGGCAAACACGGGAGGGAGAAGGGAGCCTCGCTTTCTTCTTCTGCTAGACACCCAAGCCTGGCCTATTGGCAGGAGCCGGGACAACTGCCAGACCCAAGAGGACCCCATCCTTGACTGTGTGCCTAAGGACGGAGACAGCCACTGCTCTATCCCACGCAAATACCTGCAGTTGTACCGGCACATGGGCATCTGGGTGCAGGCAGAGAACGCACTAGGGACTGGAAAGTCCCCACAGCTGTGCCTCGTTCCCATGGATGTCGGTGGGTGACGCCGGGTGTGGGGGAGGGGAAAGGCCCCCACAATGGGCAGATCCACAGAGGCACAGAGAGGGACTCCCAGACCCAGTGACAGACAAGGAGATCCCGGATGGCCTAGAGATAGGGGCAGACGAGAGAGACAGAGATGAAGTGGAATGCAGATGGGGACAGAGCTACGGACGGAGACACAGACACACAGACGTGGGAGAAACACCGAGGCAGGGAGACACGTTCTTTCAGCAAGCTTCTTGAAGTGCCCACGGCACGCTAGGCAGGCGTTGTTCTAGGTGCTGGAGACCTGAACGAAATATCAGAAGTCCTGCCCTTGGAATGTTACGTTCTAGTGGGCAAAATAGATAAAATAGAATGTCAGGCAACCAGAAGTATGAGGAGGGAGTTAACACAGAGGGGGAGGTGGGGAAAGCCGGGGGGGGGGGGGGGGTGGCTCATTCAGTAAGGTGGTCAGGGGTGGCCTCACTAAGAAGGTGACATTTGAGAAGATCCTTGAAGGAAATGAGGGAGCAGGCTGCTGGATATCGGAAGGGTAAGATCTCCAGGCAGAGGGAATGACGAGTGCAAAGGCCCCGGGGCAGAAGGATGAGACAGAGACCTAGGGAGAGACAGACACATATATACAGACAGACCTCCAGAAACATGATGACATGGAGATGAAGAGACACAGAGAGACGGAGAAAAAAAAGAAGCAGGCTGACAGAGACCCCAGGGGTGGAGACCCCAGGGCAGAAAACGGAACAACAGGTAAAGAGAGAAGCAGGAATAAGGCAGAGCCTACTCCTATAGAGGATGGGGCAGGGAAGGTTTCTGACAACCCCTCCTCCTTACAGTGAAGCTGGAGCCCCCCACACTGTGGGCCCTGGCCCCCAGCCCTGAGGTGGCCCCACCCCAGCCAGGCTGCCTGCTGTTGCGCTGGGAGCTATGGAAGCCGAGCCTCTACATAGAACAGAAATGCGAGCTGCGCCACCAGCCACAGCTCGGAGAAGCCAGCTGGGCCCTGGTGAGGTGGAAGGCAACCTCAAGAGCCTGGAGTGGGGGTGGCTGAGGGGAGGGTGGCTGAGCTGGGCCTGAAGGGCACAAGGATCCAGGCTCAGAGCCACGGCCATTCCACCAGGTGGACCCCCTGCTCCCTGAGACCCTCCAGTATGAGCTCTGTGGGCTCCTCCCGTCCACAGCCTATGCCCTGCAAATGCGCTGCGTCCGCTGGCCCCTGCCTGGCCAGTGGAGCGACTGGAGCCCTAGCCTGATACTGACCACCGCACAACAGGGTAAGTGGGTGGGGAGGGGCCAGGAGCAGCCATCAGGACAAAGTCCAGCCTTCAGGGCCCTCCCTGAGCCCCTCTTCCTACTCCGTCCCCAGCCCCCATCGTCAGATTGGACACATGGTGGCGGCAGAGGCAGCTGGACCCCAGGACTGTGGATGTGCAGCTGTTCTGGAAGGTGACCCCTTCTGAAGGCCATCCCTCCACCCCTGAGACTTCTCCCAACCCAGACAGATCCCTGTGGGCTGGGGCTCAGGACTCCAACAGTTCTGGGAGGTTTGGATGCATTTGTATGTGATTTGCATGCACTTTGCATGCACCTAGGAAGCTGGGTAGTACCCTTCTGGAGAGACTACAATGTAGGACTCACCTATGGCAAAGAGTCAGCTCAGGGAATGGTTAAGTGCCAACCTGCTCCTTCCTTTCCTCCCTCCTAGGACCTGGCATGGGGAACAGGGAAGAAGGAAGGGAGGGAGGAAGGTTGGCTCCCAGCCTGTGGGGGCTCAGTTCCTATGACCCACCCACCCCATCTAGAAGCCGTTCCCCACTCAAGATGAGCTGTGCGCCCCCACCCCTTATCTTCTTCTTCCTGTGTCCACCGCAGCCAGTGCCCTTGGACAAATACAGCGGGCAGATCCAAGGGTACCTGGTCAGACCACCAGGCCAGACTGGGGCAGTCCCAGCCCTCTGCAACACCACGGAGCTAAGCTGCACCTTCCACTTGCCCTCGGAAGCCCGGGAGGTGGTCCTTGTGGCCTATAACACAGCGGGGACCTCTCATCCCACCCCAGTGGTCTTCCTGGAGAGCAGAGGTAAAGGGCGCTGGCGGCTAGTAGAGTGTAGTGGGTGAGCACGTAATGTTCAGAGGCTAGACTGCCTGGGTTCACAACTAGTCCCGTCACTTGCTAACAGTATGACCCAGGCAAGTGACCCCTGGCCTCGGTTTACTCACCTAGCAAAGGGGGACAATCCAGTGCCTACCTCAAAGCCCTGTTGTGAAGGTCACATCCATTAAGACATGTGCCTGGCACCACGTTCCCACTCAGTATGTGTTAGCTACTCTTGTTATCATCAGCCGGAACCAAGTTAAGCTGGTGATGGTACCACACAGGCTCACATTCACTCACATGCTCACAAGTGCAGACGCTCATAGACACGCATTCGCGTGTGCACGTATGCACGTGCGTGCATGCGCGCACACATGCACACACACACAGTCCATTCTGCCAAAGAAGATAGGAAGAAAGCCCTACATTTTTCCGGCTGGAACACGGTCCCTGAGTTAATTGCTCCTTCTCAGTGGATCGGCCACCACCACCCCCAGGTTCCCCTGAACATGGGTCCTCACAAGGTGACACCAGCGATAACAAGAGCTCGTACTCCAACTTACGAGCCGCATGACCTTAGGCAAATTACTTAACCTGTCTCAGTTTTCTCCTTGATAAATTGGGGCCAGGGTAGCGCCTCCCTCCTACGACTCTTAGCGGACTCAGTAAATTCATACATACCAAGGCCCATAGCCACACAGACCATGAACTACACAGCGTTAGCACTGATCCCTGTCAGACACTCCTCGGCACGACGCACTGTGCCAGGCTCGTTCTAGGCATCATCTCATTTGATCTGCGCCAGGACCCTTACAGAGGAGCAAACTGAGGTCCTGATGTTGACTTACCCAAGGCCATCCGGCTTGTAAGTAACAAAGCCAGGATTTGAACCCAGGCTTCTGGCTCTGGGACCCGCATTCTTCTTGCTTTTGCTCTCTTACCTCCTACCCTGTCTCCAGGCCCGCCCCTGGCCAGGCTCCACACCACAGCTCGAGATCCCCACAGCCTCTGGGTGGGCTGGGAGCCCCCCAGCCCTCGGCCTCGGGGCTATGTGATTGCCTGGGGCCTGGGTCCCCCCAGCCCCAGCAGCAGCAATATGACCTGGAAGATGGAACACAACGGGAACATTTCCGGGATCCTGCTGCAGGGTGAGGCAGGCCTGGGGACCTGGGAGGCAAGGAGGCAGTGTTTGTCAGGCAGAAAGCAAGGGGCGGGCTGAACCCCCCCACAGAAGAAGCAGACTCCCCAGTCTTTCTTGACTCCTTAGTCTCGTCTCATACCCCCAGAATCAGGAAGTTCTTCCCCCAGTCTAGCCAGATCCTCCCTTTTCACAGCCCTGCCCTGCCACCTTCCTAGCTCTCCTCCTTTTCTGCCCTTACGTCCATCAAATGATCTGAAGAAGAGATAGACGAGGCTAGCCCTGCAGCACAAGGCCTGGGTTATTCCCCACTGGAGGTCTGAGGTTAGCTCCTGATCATCTGCAGAGGTTAGCCCCTCACCAGGGGGCCTGCCCCATTTTCTCTCCACAGAGAACATCAGGCCCTTTCAGCTCTACGAGATCACCGTGACCCCTCTATACCAGGACACCGTGGGACCCTCCCAGCACATCTATGCCTACTCCCAAGAGATGGGTGCGTCAGCCACCAGGCTCCTCCCAGAATCCTCCCCTCTCAACGCCTGCCTGGGGCCCCACAATCAGGACTATGAGGGAACATTTCCTTCCTCCCCCACCTCTGACCCACAGGAGACCCTCTCCCAACCCTAAGATGACCCCGGGCTTACAGTGGACCCCTGCAGCCGGACAGAAGTCAGGTGGTGGGGTGACAGAAACTGGGGAGTGAGTTGGGCAGAATTCACGAAGCGAGTCTGGCAAAAATCAACCAGTTTCCCTGAAAGAAATCAAGTGTCCTGTGTGGCAGAAATTAGACAGAAGGCCCGCCATAAAGTCAGAGAGCGAGTGGCAGAAATCAGATAGTGAGCCCAACAAAATCAAGCCTGGCAGAAATCAGGCGGCAAGGCTTTGGAGTCAGAGAACCAAGTGCAAATCCTGACTTAGCCACTTATTTAGCAGTCTGTGGAATTCAGTCAAAGGTGCTGGCAACGTGAGGCTTGGGCATGGGTCCCCTTGGACTCTCTTCTCCCACTCCCCGCCATAGTGTGGCTCAGTTCTGGGCTCTGGGGAGCCACAAGATGTCCAGCTAGGCTCTCCACTCTTCCCTGCTCCCCGTCAGCCCCTGCACCTCGCTCTCTTCCGGCAGCCCCCTCCCACACCCCAGAGCTGCATCTAAAGCACATCGGCAAGACCTGGGCCCAGCTGGAGTGGGAGCCCCAGGCCCCTGAGCTGGGGAAGAGCCCCCTGACCCACTACACCATCTTCTGGACCAACGCTCAGGACCAGTCCTTCTGTGAGTCTCTGCTCAGTACCTCACAGTCCCTGAAGGCCTGGGAGGGGACGCCCAGCAGCCTTGGAGGGAGCCTCGGCATCTGGGCCCAGGCTGACCATTCTCTTCTTCTCCCAGTCACCACCCTGAATGCCTCCTCCCATGGCTTGGTCCTCCACGGCCTGGAACCTGCCAGCTTGTACCACGTACGCCTCATGGCTTCCAGCAAGGCCGGGGCCACCAATAGTACAAGCCTTACCCTGATGACTTTGGCCCTAGGTAAGGAGAGCAGGGGGCTGGCCAGCCAAGGCTGTTGGGAAGGTTCATCACCCAACGGATCTCTCATTTGGAGGCCCTGCCTGGATCTGCTAGTCTGAGGGAGGAGACCGAGCCCAACCCATGAAGCCCAGGCTGAGGGAGGAGGCCCATTCCTGCCCTCAGAGCCCAATCTGAGGAAAGAGGCCCAGCCCTACTTGCATGCACTCTAATTTCTTCTGGCTTTCCCCTCACCCCAGAGGAGTCTGAGCTGCATATCCTCCTGGGCCTCTTTGGCCTCCTGGTCTTGCTCATCTGTCTCTGTGGGGCTTCCCGGTTCTGCTGCAGACCCAGGTGAGTCCTCTCAAGACACCTAACACCTACCTACCCCTGCCCACAGGGAACTGCAGGCTGGAGCGGGACTGTCCAGGTCCCTCCTTGCCTTCCCAGGCCTCAGGGCCCATGCCTGGGTCCAGCCCTGCACCACCTTCTCTCTGTACTAGGGAGCCTTCAACTGCTAGAGCGGGTGGGAGAAAGCATGGCAAGATGGGAGGGGGCATGCCTGACCCAGCCTTCACCTGCCTTCTTCTCCAGCAGGAAGAATCCCCTCTGGCCAAGTGTCCCAGACCCAGCCCACAGCAGCCTGGGCTCCTGGGTGCCCACCATCATGGTTGAGGTAAGAACCCCCATGGGAGAGGGAAATGGGGCCAGAGGCGCTGGCCCAGGCTCAAAGTGAAAGGAACCTCCCCCAAGGATGAGTCCTCAGGCCTTCCCATCACTTCCTAGCAAGGTGCCCTCCCTCTGGAGTAGAGCAGATCCGAGTTTGCATCCCAGCTCTACCCATTTCAAAGCCTCAGCCATCTCACTGTGAATTGAGGTGAATCTCACACAGAATCATTGGGGACATGCACCGAGCTAAGTCTGAAGCCCATAGCACGCGTCAGGAATACATGAGGTGCTTTGCAAGTGTCACCCTTTGGGCTCCAGCAGAGAGCAGCAGGAATATCCCCACAACAGGCCCACCGCAGGAAGGCACAGTGGTTGGGATGACTACGAGATAAATCATGCCCTCACCCCCCATGTCCTTGTGTCCAGGAGGCCTTCCAGCTGCCCAGCCTTCGGGACCCCGGCATGCCACCCATCACCAAGATCACAGTACTGGAGGAAGAAGAGAAGAAGCCGGGGCCCTGGGAGTCCAACGACAGCTCAGGGACCTGTGGCCTCCCCACCCTGGTCCAGGCCTATGTGCTCCAGGGGGACCCAAGAACACCTTCCACCCAGCCCCAGCCCCCGTCTAGCACCAATGACCAGGTCTTTTATGGGCAGGTGCTGGGCAGCCCCACAGGCCCAGGTCCAGGGCACTACCTCCGCTGTGACTCTACTCAGCCCCTCCTAGGGGGCCTTACTCCCAGCCCCAAGTTTTATGAGAACCTCTGGTTCCAGAACAGCCCCCTGGGGACCCCAGAGCCCCTCGTCCCAAACCAGGAGGATGATTGTGTCTTTGGGCCACTGCTTGACTTCCCCCTCCTGCAAGGGCTCCAGGTCCATGGGGTGGAGGGGCTGGGGGGCATCTAGCACTTCCTGGGACCCCCCCGCCCAGGCCTGCCTCTTGAAAGGCCTGGGCCATCCAGAGGAGAGGAGAATATCAGTAAGCCCATCATGAAAAAATCATCTCGTCCCAGAAGGGCAGGAAGACTACCAGTATCTCCCTATCTCTGGTCCCCAGCATCCTTCCTCCACCTCCCAGGCCCCATGGGCTGACCCTGCCTCTCACTTTAGTGGCCAGAGAATGCTTCATCCAACCCTGCCCACTAGCCTTCTGTGTTTAATTCCTGTAATTTTAGTCTCTTAAACCGGTTCAAGGTTTGGTTTGTTTTGGTTTCGAGAAACTCTTGAGTGTGCCTGAGTCTCTGTTCTTTTTCTTTTCAGGGCCCTAGCAGTGATGGGGGTACTTATCAGAACTGTTCGTTTGTGTATTCTTTCCTTCGCTCATTAATTCCACCAGCCCACATGTAGCATTTAGGTCCTGTGCTGGCAGCAGGGATTCAAAAATGATTTGGCTCAGTCCACCCTCAGAGGGCTCCCATTCTAGTGGTGGAGACTTGAAAACTGGCCACTAGGGCACAGTGGCCAGAGTTATCTTGTGAGGGTGGGGGTGAGGGGTCACAAAATGCTATGGGATATGGGGAATATACTTCAGAAAAGACCAATCCCTGTTGGAAAAATATAATTAAAAACAAAATCTCCTGGGCTGCCTGGCTGGGTCAGTCAGTGGAATGTGTGACTCTTGATCTCAGAGTTGTGAGTTCCAGCCCCATGTTGGGTGTAGAGATTACTTAAAAATAAAATATTAAATATATATATGTTAAATATATATATTTTTATTTAATATAAAATATTAAATATATATATATATCCTGCCAACCTAGAAAACCTCTCCACAAGGGTAGAAGAAAAAGAAATCTGTTTTATTATTGAATGAACATTAAACCAGAATGTGAAACGCATGTGCATCACCAGCAATCCCCTAAAGAGCTTGAAAAGACAGAAGTCTTACCCTTGTATATAGCCAGGTGGATACAGGTTATTGCATACATTTTCTTAAGATAAACAGTAACTTGTCCTCAATGACACCATCTGTCTTTGTCACACAGAGTTCATCCTAAATTCTCCTGGTAAATGGGGTAGCCACGCAAGTTTACTAATTGTCTTTACCCAAAAGAAAACTAAATTTCTCATATCTTTATGAGAAGAGTCAGGTTTGCAACTCAGAGGCAGGCAGAAACTGGGAGACAGGGCCACTGCCTCCCTTAATGATTACATTTCAAGAGATGGCTCCCAGATCCTTGAGAAAAACATGTTGTAAAACTGGCAAGAGGCTTATTTAGCTTTTAAAAAGATTTACGAGTGCCTCAAAAGGGCAGAGAAAGAATTCACAATTACAAGTTTTCAAAAGTAAATGCTTTAAGCAAAGTGAAGGGGAGAAGAGCTTTCTCCCTCTTTGCACCAGGGAGGATTAAAATTTTATTTTTGTGTCATCAAAAATTTATTTTCCCTACTTTTAATTTGTAGTTGTCCTTACACCCCTCATTTCACCAATATTAACACAGCAAATATTGATCAAATGCCTACTATATAGCGGGTCCTTGGCACACAACTGCCTCAGGTAATCCTCCAACAATGCAAAAAACTGATACTGTTATTACCATTCCCATGTGATGAATGAGTACACCGTGGCCCAGAAAGGTGGAGTGACTTGCCCGCAGGATCATACAGTGAGTAAATACTGATGAGTAAAATGAGCTATGATTTCAGCCCAGGACTGTCCCATTCCAAAATCAACGAACGACCTTCATCACGAGGCTTACCAGGCTGCCCGAGAGGAGGCTGGAACCCAGTAGTTCTTAGGGGGCCTCGTCGTGGAATACAGGAGGAGAGGAGGCGGAAACACTAGGTTGGGGGAGAAGAATACGGCAGGCCCCACGGGAGCCTCCAAAATGACCGGGGCCCAAGGCCAAGTACATAGAGTGGGATTAAGGGCGGGATGCCCAAGGGGGAAAATGGCATCTTAGAATTTATACAGCACCGGACACCACTGACCAGGCCCGCAATCACCCAGCCCCCAGCCCCGCACGGCTGCTAACCGGACCTCTCCCCTGGACCCAATCGCGCCGCACCCCGGGTCTTGCCTTTCCCATCCATTCTCTCGGTCTTCATCTGCTCCGGTCTCGAAACTGCACTCCATTGGTCGAGCCTGAGCCAGCATGGCGGCGCCCTTGTAACGCGGTCCGTGCCGCAAAAGGGACGGCGGCGGCGGTGGCGCCGGCCCCGCGGGGTCACAAGTCGGCATGCTGAGAACAGCATGGAGGGCACTGAGGTCGCTTCCGACCCAGGCAGTGGCCCAGGCTCCAGTCCGCGGGCTGCTGGGCGGAGCGTGCGCCAGGCCTCCCTTCCGCCAGTGGGGCCTTCCCTCCCCTCCTGGAGGTGAGGAGCTGAGAACCTAAGCAACTCGAGCAGGGAGGTGGGGTTGGGCGGAGATGGGGGACACGCGGGACGAGGATGGGGAAGAAAGGCCATTGGGTGGGGAAGAAGTAAGACAAGGTGGGAGAGGCGTGGGGCTGCGGGGTGCGGAAGAAATGGGGCGGCTGCTAGGCGCCGAAGCGCCAAGACCTTGCAGGAAGGGTAGATGCAGGGGCCACAGAAAGGAGTTGAGGCTGGACTGTTTAAGGAGATGGGCCTCGGCCCTCTCTCTTCTGCACAGGTGTTATCCTTCCGGCCGTTCGCGGATATGCCATCCAGAAACCAGGTAGGAGCTCTTGGGGTGGGATTTCCGCGGAGAGAGGGACGTCTGGAGGGACGCCGGGTGGCCAAGGGGACAGAGGTGGCTACTTAGAACCACTCGATGGGGGTGGGCCAGAGGTCCTGAGCAGAAGACCCCCACGTCCGCCTTGTCAAAAGGCTGTAACCTGAAACCTGCCCGGGACCGGGTGGGGGGTGGGGGTGGCGAGCCGGCGCGGGAGCTTTCGGACTGGGTTTGAGTGAGAGTGAGCTAGCAGGGGGAGGGCGTGCTGGGCGTACCCAGGCCTACCTAGAGTCTAGGTAGACACTTTGTGTCTACCCTTCCGTGGTGGAGGGCTTGGTTTCCCGTTCCAAGGCAGTGTGCATCTCTCTTACTAAAGAGATCTCTCTTCCTGGGCACATGATATTGGGCAAGTTACTTCCTCCAGTCACATTCTAAAATGATTGTAGAAGTTATCTATTTGAGAGGATTGTTGTTAGGATTCAGTGATAACACATGAAAAGCATTCTTGGCACTGAGCGCAATAAATGCAGTCTATATTAGCATTTATTGCTACTAATATTATGTACACAGTGGCAGAGCAGGGTCTGACTGGAGAGGACAAGTTATCTCCCTTGTACCTCTCCCTCATCCCCGAGGGAATAGGACACACACCAAGGCCCGAGGTCGAGGGTTTCCGATTTGTGCTTACATTTCAGGTGTCCTAAAGCTAGGGGTCCCTCCTCAATCCCCTTATTTCATTCATGCAGTCAGCCAGCAAGCGTTTGTCAAGTACCTGTTCTACATGAGGCCACGGACCAGACCGGGGATTCAAAAGGAGTCAAACTCAGTCCGTCCACAAAAGGCCCCATCCTGGTAGGGGATTCGATAACTGTAGAGTCAGAGATGTAAGAGGTGGAGGCACAATATGGGATCTTAGGAAAGGCAATCTACTCCCAGCGTGAAATATCAAGACAGTTGCCTGCGGCGTTTGCAGAGGAGAAGCTGAGCCCAGAGATATCCAGTGTTTTGCTTGAGACCCTGGGTGCCTCACGGAGTTGGTGACAAAAGCCAGAACTGAGGGGGTGGGCAGTGAGAGTTGACTCTTGGTGTTTTCCATCCCTACACTTGACAGTCCAGCGCAGCCAAGAAGATGACCCGCCCCCTTCCACGCTGCTCAAAGACTACCAGAACATTCCCGGAATTGAGAAGTAAGCAAAAAGAAATCTCTTTGATGAGGTAGGGTGCCCTAAGAGGAGTGAGGAGGAGGAAGGGAAGACAGTGACTGGTCCGGCCTGGCCCACTGTATCTGAAGCTTGGTCATAGAATCAGGCAGAGGACTCTTGAAGCCCAGGCTTGGTGAGGGTGAGTGGCAGGGCAGAATGGCATTCGTGGAGCTCAATTGTTTGCCTTTTGTTGTACTCTGGTTTAGTTAGCAAGGAGGCAACATACCTCATGGGTCTTTGTGAAATCTCTCATCTCTGGATCCTCAAAAAAGCCCTCTGAGGGAAGAAACAGTGTCTCCCTTTTATACATTACCAAGTTGTTCTATGTCATACAGCTCCTAAGGGACGGAGCTGAAAGACACCAAAGCCGGGATCCTTCTGCTCAGTCCCTGCCCTACGCCCTAGGAGCTGTCCTGTGTGACATGAGAAGAAAACGATTATAGAATTGAAATGTCTCAAGACAGATTGAACCATACCTTTTGCTGAAATGAAAATCTTCCCTTTGCCCTCCCTGTGATGGGCCTGGAACACTCACACGGACAGCCCCAATTTTGTGTAGTTATCACATCGTTCCACGTTCTCAGCGCAGCACATCAGATTCATGCTGTTAATCCCCGAGAAATGGCTCCCCGCTTCCACAGAGACTCTTTTGTTATAAAAGAAATTTTCAGGGGCGCCCGGCTGGCTCAGTTGGTGGAGCATGAGACTATTGATCTCGTAGAGATCTACGTTGGATGTAGAGATTACTTAAAAATAAAATATTAAAAAAAAAATTTTTTTTTAACCGTAATTGCTTTTCAAACTAAAATGGAAACAGCATCATTTCCCCCTCCTCCCCGTCCCCCCACACCTGTCTCTCATTGCTCTGGTTTCCGCACAGGTTTGACGATGTTGTAAGAAGACTCCTGTCTTTGGAAATGGCCAACCAGGTAAGTGACCTGTGCAAAACCCCAGCCTCTCCTAGTCCTCTCCTCTGGGACTTCCTCCTACCGTGGTAACACCACCCCAGGCTTCTCAAGTCACAGTATTTATCCCAGTGTCATTCTGTGACCACTCATCCATCCCCCAGACTGAGCATCTCGAGGGCAGGGACGGTCTTGTTCTCTCACTGTATCCCTAGCACCCGGCAAACAGTAGGTACTCAGTAATGATCTAATGCCTGAATGAATGAGCAAGGTTTGGAGACATTCATCCAACAAGCCATTTCACCTGCCATTGGCCTCGGACTCACCTACATGTGAATAGCTACGTGCTGACCAAAGGCCTTGCCCTGATGAACAGAGTGAAGCCAGGCGCTGAACTTCATGGCCTAGGTTCTATGACTGTAGCCAGGGCCTGTGTGGTATGAAGGCTAGCTCTTAGGGGCTGGCAGACCACACAGATTCTCTGTCTCTATCCTCA